TGAGCTTAGTGAGCCCAATGAGTTTGGTGGGCCTAAGGTTCTCTTTACTTGGTCTTTACATGGATGACCACCTTTCTCATATATTTGGTAGTATAGGAGTTTATAATGTTTGGTCTTGTATTATGGGCCTTAGTATAAGACTTTTTGGGTTTTAAGCTTATTGGGCCTAGTTTTGGGCTTTGTGGGCCTTTGGGCTTTTGTTTACTTTTGAGCTTAGTGAGCCCAATGGGTTTGGTGGGCCTAAGGTTCTCTTTACTTGGACTTTACATAGATGACCACCTTTCTCATATATTTGGTAGTATAGGAGTTTATAATGTTTGGTCTTGTATTATGAGCCTTAATGGATGACCACTTTTCTTATATATTTGGTAGTACAAGAGTTTATATTGTTTGGTCTTGTATTATGGACCTTAGTATAAGATTTTTTGGGTTTAGGGTTTAGGGTGTAGATGTAATTTAGTAGAATGAAAAAAAATATATTATTTTGCTTTAAAAAATTCGTGTGACAAATTTGTAGTTAGAACGGGCCGTTCCGTTTTCAGAACGGCCCGTTCTGATTTAATTATTGATGTGTCATTTTTGAATTCGGAACGGGTCGTTCTGATGTTGGAACGGGCCGTTCCGTTCCATTTGTCATGTGTTTTTTTGTCATCTGGAACGGCTCATTCTGGTCTAATATTTATTTGTTATTTGTTCATTTGGAATGGCCCGTTCTGATTTCAGAACGGCCCGTTCCGAGTGTCAGTAGCAACTGCGTCTGTTGCCACGTGTTTTTTTTTTGGGTAATTTAAAAAAAAATCAGTAAAAAAATCAAAAATTTAGATCCAGTGTGATAAGGTGTATTATGATCTATTAGTTTAAATGCATCTAAGGGTGAAAACTGATGATGCACCCATAGACCACTTGTGAAAGTGGTCTTTCACATAATTCACCCCTATCATAACCAAGGCCGGCACGGATGATATCTCTAATCATGATTTTACGTACAAAACAGAGATTGAACCGAATCCTTAATTAATATATAAATATTGAGTCACTTTTGCTAATGACCTTCAATATGATATAAGGCTTTTTGACATATAGAAACACATTTTATTTTATTTCTGGTCTCAAATATCTTAAATTTTATATTAAAATAACTTTTCCAATTTTTTTAAATTTTTTTTCCAGTAAATAACCTATGGCTGGTAATTTCACTGCCTCACTTATACTTAAGAACTTAATCGTAGAAGCTTCAATAGCAGTTTCACTCGGTCCTACTTTGCCAAGTTTCCAACTAAATCCAAAATAAAAAAATATAGAAAAAAAGGCAAAAATAAAGTTATCCAAACATATTTTATCTTTTGTATTATCTATCCTTCCTCAAATATGCACCGCAAATGAATAAAGAGCTCTGACAAAAACGTGGAACCATACCCAATTGACTTAACATTCTCGAAATAGATCACTCTAGTTTCCAAGTTGAAGAGAAAAGGTAAACTTTTCAACCAGCAAAACAAGTTATTTTGGTTTCGCCAGTTTAATTTTACAAAAGCCCTTTTGATGCATTTTGCAGCGTTTAATTGGAGGACTAAAAAAGTGATCATGGCTTGGTCCCTTTCTTCTTGTGCCATCACAAAGCCATTTTTGAGGGTCCAAGACAGAAGCTTGAGCCATGAAGTTCAGAGAACAAATAGTTCAGTAGCATTTATAAGGTGTGAATCAAAAGAGTTGCCAGAAAAAGGTTCCAAAAAGTTGGAAATAGGGTCTCCCATAATTTTTATTGAAGCTCCAAAGATGATTAAGACTGCAGCTACTATGCCCTGCCTTAGGGTTAATTCTGGCCTAGTCAAGCCTGGTGATGTTGGAAGGTATTTAATTTACCTCATCATATACACTTATCTCTTCAAATACCAATGTTCAATTCTCCAAATATATGTGTGCATATTCAATTCATTCAACTAATAGTAGAGTTTAATTTTTTTTTTTAATAACTTTAGAGTTTGATTTTCATATAATATCTCAGATTTTTATATCAACTAAACATAAACAATTTTAGAAAAATCATTAAAATAGATTCACTTTCTCTTTCTTTTTTTTAATCTCTTTCTTCCCCCTCTCAGTCTCTCTTAATTTAGTTTACATTTTGTTTGACTCTGATATATGAATTTTGTGAGCATCAAATCAAATGCTTATGTAATAGCAATTGGGTAATTAATTTGGTGCAGGATTGTTTCAAGAAAACCAAAAGATGTGTGGGCAGTGAGGTTAAGCATTGGAACTTATCTTATAGATGGGAAATATTTTCAGCCCTTGGATCTGGCTGAGGCTGAGCATAACTGAATAATCAGTTAATGACTCAGAAATTCATCCTAAAACACCTTCACTCAATGCCAACATGTTAAATTAGATGTGTAATATTTTTGTATATTTTTTTACTGTATTCTGTAAATTAATCGAGTAGACTATGAAATTAATGTTTTTCTTTTTGTTAAAGAAAAAAACATATTGCCCTATTTTATGTATTTATTGGTAAATATAGTAGCTTAATCTCTCATACTGAATTCCTAATTTTAATGTGTGTTTTGTTTTTTTGTTGGAGGGATGGGAATAGGAATTATTGAGTTTCCCAACCTCCTCATTGTTTAAGTCAAACCCAAGTCTGTCTCTTAGATCACTAGGTGCTTACTGCTGCTTGATTCACTTTTCTTAGTCACATATATCCATCCAATTTTATTATTTTAAAGTTTCTTGATGATGACATTTGATAATTTAGTCATTGGATACTTGAAAATATGCGATGATAGAATTGGATATATAAAATTAAGTGCCACATTCTTTTCAGTGTGCTATTTTAAATATTTTTTTAATTAATTAAAATTTATTAAAAAAATATAAATTTAGTAAGTCTCTCATTTTACTTAATAATTCGCTCTTGACTTTATAATTTTTAATAAATTTTAATTAATAAAAAATATGTGTTAAGAAAATTGTATTAGAGAATGTTTTATTAACACGATTTAAAAATTAATCGCTAGCTAGTTTCTTTTTCATCTAAATTTGTTAGTTTATTGCATTAGAAATGAATTAATTTTCTGTTGTAAAAAAAAGTAATGTGATACTTTTGTTCTTTAATCAATTATTAAATTGAATAATCAATTTGAGCATAATTTAAATATATCATTTTATCTTTTAAATAGGATAAAATTATAATATATATATATATATATAATTATTTTTTTTCAACACTTTAATGGAGGATTTAAAGACTAGGTGTTCATTTTTCTTATTAAGTTGTTACACAAATGTTATCACAGTAGTAATTAATTTATCAATGGAATTTTGGACAATTAGAAAGGTCTAATGTAACATTTTATGATAATATCTTATTTAAAATTATATTTTGTAATAATATTTTTGAGTATGACATAAATTTTTCTTTTAATAAATTCATAAATTTTACTTTTTATACGAGTCAACATGCTTGATATTTAAAAAGATAATTTCATATTTTATAAAAAAAAATAATAGATAAATATTTATGATTTTAATTAACAAATTTAATATAATAATAATAATCATTATTATTATTTATTTAAATAAGCCAGTATGTAAAGTCTAATAGATTTTTTAAATGATCTAAAGCATGATCTTTTAATAAAGTAAACTTTAATATAAAAAAAAAAATTAATCTTACTTATTTTCTATAGAAATCATCACTTGTACCCCATGTAAGTTGTTATAGGTTATTTATTGAGTGACCTAACTTATTTTCTAATGCAACGCATGTTGTCCATGGGATTTCCCTTGACTCATCCTTCTTGGTCCATGCTCAAGGTCAAGCAGGTGGGATTTGGTGCTTATAGGACAAAAACCAATGGCAGTTGGAAGTTTTGAATCATTCTTCACAATATATCCATTTGAAGATTCTCAATGGAAGTAATTCATGGTACTATACCATGGTCTATGCTAGTCCCCACGTCTAGGGACGTGTTCAACTTTGGAAGGATCTCTGTACGATTGCTACTCAGGTGGCCCATGGAACTTGATAGGAGATTGTAATGCTATTATGCATTCTTATGAGCGTTAGGGTGGCTCGCCTAGTTCGTCAATTTGGGGTGACAATGCTTTTTGGAAGTTTGTTAACCATTGTAACCTTATAGATATTGGCTATCAAGGTGCTCCCTTCACTTGGCATAGAGGTCTTCTTTATGAACGTCTTGATCGATCCTTGGTCTCTTATGATTGGCATATTAGCTTCCCTGATGTGTCTCTCATTCATCTCAATCCTTTCAAATCAGACCACTCTCACATTTTACTTCGTTTTGGCTTAGATGAGAATCTGAGAAGAAGAAAGAGACCATTTCGATTTGAAGCTGCGTGGATGACCCATGAAGCCTTTCAGGGTCTCATGCAACGAGAGTGGCATGTTGAACAAAATTGGAACCATAGAGTTGATCATATGAAAAAATCCTTACTGAATTGGAATAGTCACACATTTGGAAATGTATTCCATGCTAAGAGATGTTTGCTTCGTCGGCTTCAAGGTATTGCTTGTAAATTATATCAAGGGCCTAATAGGTTCTTAGAAGCTACATGTTGAGCTTTGGATAGAGCTAAACATTATTTTATCAAGGGAGGAAGCGATTTGGTATCAAAAATCCCGCTGCAAATGGCTAATGATGGATGATCAAAATACTCATTATTTCCATGGCACTACTGTTGCTAAACGAAGGAAGAGTAGGGTGGACAGACTCATGAATCATAATAACGAATGGGTCTCTCAACCAGAAGAATTGGCAGTTATGGTTACAAATTACTACAAAGATTTATTCACTGACTCAGGAGATTATCAAAACTACCACATGACTAGAGCCTTCCCTACTCTTGATGAAGCAGAATTATTTGAGATTGGTAAACCGATTGAGGATGCTAAAATCTACCAAACGGTCAAACACATGGGTAGCTATAAAGCCCCAGGCCCTGATGGTTTTCAGGCTATTTTTTATCAACACCAATGGTCTTTAATTGGACCTACTATTTATCAACTAATCCATGATTTTGAGGAAGAGCCTTCTCGAGTAGCTGCTGTAAATGACACGCTAATTGTCTTTATTGCAAAAGTGGAAGTGGTGACCAATTTGAAACAAATGAGACCTATTGGTCTGTGCAATGTTTTCTATAAAATTCTTGCCAAGGTCCTATCTCATAGGCTCAGCCAGGTAATGGAGAAACTTATTCACCCGAATCATAATGAAGGAAGTGAACAATGCTTATATAATGAAGATATGTTGGAGTCTCTTTACGGAAACTGACAAATTATGGGTTCAAGTGATAAGAAAGAAATACAGTTGTTCTAATGATAAAGTTGAAATCATGTTCTAAATATGTGTAGCAGAAATAAAAAGATCTACTTTATGCTAAAACCACACATGATAATCAATAGGATATTTATGAAAGCCAATAAAGTTTATCCGGTTGAAGTCTGAAATTTAAAGGATTTCCTTCAAAACTATGAAAGTCTCACGTGTATCCACACCGAGACTAATCTTTGTTTGTCAACCTTTTGACTGAACAATTTTTCAGCACAGGATATAAAAGAGAAAAGAACTAATTTTCTTATGGTTTCTCTGTGTCACTTTCTCCACAATGGAGTTGTATATTTATAAATATGTGAACATATTTATTCACTTAGCAACAGCTTCCATATCCTATCTTCTAAAAAATAGGAATTATCAAATATCCAAAAGAAATTAGTTTTTATCTTTTCTTATCAAAACCACTTTTGACTAGGTCAAAATTCAAATTGAATCTTTCAATTTGAAATTGAAAAACTGACGTGCTTTTCTATCTTAATAGAAACAAATACTATTTATATTTTGATGCTAGTAAAAAATAAATAAATAATATTTTATTTATAAGAAAAATAATTATTTGGTAAAATCAAATTCTTTAATTTAATTATCAAATAATAAATTTTCTTGAGCAAAGATTAGAACACTCATTAGTGTGTGACCTTGTAGGTTCAAAACTAAACCGGCAGTAAATTAACTACATTAATTTACTAATCAAGGTTGACGTCTAGCAACACTCCTTAACTTCCAGATAGTATGAAATAATATTTTCAAGAACCTTTAGAAGATTAACATAAAACTTCCTTCCATCATTTTACAGCTCTAAATTAACTTTAGAATATGGTTTAATTGTCAAATTCTAATCAGTTAACATATAATGAAAAATACAAGAAAAACTCCTTTTTCTTTATTATTTCAATTGCCTTGGCCAAGGTCCTTATTTTCATTATAAAGCTCAAACTCATTACCAAGAGTCGATGGATCCCTTCTTGATTAATCAGTTAATTCTACAAGAATTCAATTACACCCAATAATCATTCAACTAACACCTTTAGGTATTAGGTGTCCGAAATCAAAGTATAATAAATATATTGTTAATTATTATGATAATCTCAAGTCTAAGGAAATTATATATTTCTTCTTAAGAATTTCCTATTGACAAAATTTTAAGGTAATACATAACCATTAGGAATTCTCCTTTATAGAGTTTGTTCAATAGTCATATCCCTATATGCATTATTTGTATGAGTAATTTAATAAATGAGATCTATTAATCTCTATCCAATAAAGACTATTACACATATATTGATCTATGTGGATTAATGATGTCCTATCTTCAATAATCCTACAATCAAAAACAATTTAGATTAAAATTAAAAAGACTTGTTTTTCTCATTATTATAATCTCTATTATAAAAAAGAAGTCTTTAATTTTAATCAAGGACTTTATCATATTAATTATTTCTCATAATCAATAAACATGAAAATAAAGTACAATCTTATTAATGTATATAAGAAAGATTGGATCTTGGGCATATATTTTATTCCCAACAATCTCAATCATAATGAAGAGACCGTTGATGTCTAACCTTTGGCAAGGAGTATGTCAAGTTTGGGACAAGGTGAGGGCAAATATCAGATGGAAACTAAGGAATGGTCATTCAATTCGTTTCTGGTTTGATTTGTGGCTGTCTCACTCGACAAATATTATTTCTTCAGCAACCACCTTTATTCTACTTGCGGAATTATCTAAAACTATAAGTGAGTATGTTAGTAGTGCAGGTACTTGGAATGTGGAGCACTTACAAGCTTTCCTTCCTCATGATATCTGGACTATGGTGATCAATCAAGCCCCTGGCAGGGGAAGATATGATCACTTGGAGGTTAACAAATGATGTGAAGCCACACAAATCTTTTTTTTTTTTCTTTTTCTTTTTCTTTTTCGAGACTATGTGAAGCCAGACACATTACATGGTAATGCATAATCATATTTTATACACATTTTATTAGGCAAATTTATCTTTTAATTATTTCCTAAGCCAACTATTACTCTCTTTAAGTCACCCCCGTTACTTTATGCAATATACACCCTCGTATTTTTTATTCAACACCCATCATTTCTTTCTCTTTCTTTTACTTTTTTATTTTAAAATATAATAATTATAAAAGGAATATTCATGTTTCATATACGCATTTTATTAGA